TAAGGTGTAAGGTGTAAGCTGTGTGTTACGCACATGCCGCGGCGGGAAGTGAGTCGGCCTGCATGGCCTGATATGGCAAGAAGACTTCATTAACAAGTCCGCCGTTGAAAATAGCCGCGTCGCTTTTCCTTACATCGGCTCTTGGGGTTTCCACACAGGTTGCTCATGCGCAGCTGTGACTTTTCATATTGTTTTGTTTCGATGCGGGCCAAACGGGAAAAACACAGATAAAGCATTTATGCGTTTCCCGGTTGGCCCGCATAGCGAGGACGTCCTGGCATTTGAGGCCCAAAACTCACCAGGTGCCATCATGCCTGGTAGCGGCGGCGGCACGGCGTTGGGGTGCGCATCTCGGTGGTCCAACTCCGCTTTGTGTTGCGTTTGCATGCACGCGCACACCCTGCGTGGGAGTGCAGACACACAAAACGCACAGACAGACGGACAGACAAACAGATCGCTTTCGACGGCATGTCGGAAGCAGTTGCCCTTCACCCGCATCTCAAACATGGCGACGACCTGGCACATCCACGATGCCGAAGGGAAGGGCCGGCGGGTGCCCTCCGCCGCAACACCAACCAACCCGCCCCACACCTCCTCTCCAGCTCACTCCCTTCCCTGCCTCTTGGTCAGCACTACTCCTGGTACACTCTTGCCCTGGTTCAGCAGCTTCACTCGTTCGTGGTCCGTCTGTACCCCGCTGGGACCCCCCCTCCTTGTCGACTACGTGTCGGGTTACAACATTCAACTAACCAACAACTACTTCCCGATAAGGTTTCGGGATTGCTGTCCACGTGTTCCTTAAGCTGTGCTCCTTTAAAAGCTGCGTGATTCTCTGCCTCAGTTGGTGTTGGTGTCTGATGCTAGCACGGCTTGTTTGTTGCTACAAGTATATTATGTGCACCACAAATACACCCCCCTAACACACACACACACACACACACAGAGACACTTCCCCGCTCCAGGGGGGCCCCTGTTAGAGCGCACTCACGTGCACCACGTGAAGTCCGCCAGCAGATCAACGATCTGGGCCGCGTCCCGCAGCTCGCTGAAGAAGCAGGCCAGGATGTGGCACACACAGCTAAGGTACTGCAGGAAGATCATCGTGCCTGGGGGAGAAACAGGAAGCCAGAAAAAAAAAGCCCGAGGGTTATCGAGGGATGGGAAGGAAGATGACGAGGACGATGTGCCAGGGGGGAAGGACGAACCACGAACGAAAATGAAGCTGCTGCCAGGGCAAGAGTGTACCAGACGTAGAACTGACCAAAAGGCGTTCTTGTGTGTGGTGGGGAGGAAGAGGATGATGACGACGTTGAGGAGGAGGAGGAGAGGACTGTGAGATACATAGATGACAGGATATGGGACAGTTACGCGAGGGAGCTAGGAACTGAGGGAGGTGATGATGACGTATTGGATTAGATCAGCGAGATGGACGGACCACGGATATGAACGACTGGATCAGGACGACCTGGGATCCAAGTGTTGCATGTTATTGCAACCCCTGGTCACCGTCCTCACTTTCATCACCACCTCTTCCCAGGCCCCCACAGCGGCCCCCACCCACCGATGATGCAGTGGTCGCACTTGGTGGTCTCCACCTGCATAGGCGGGCCACAGTAGTACCGGGGCAGAGTACCGGGGCAGTGCAGTGCAGGTGCAAACCAGGTTGGGCGGTCAGTCACCAGCCAGGGGCCACCGGCCTTCGAGTCACCGGGCACCCAACAAAACCAGCGACGGTCCCCAGCTTCCCGAGAGCGAGCTGTGGCGGGCCTGGCTGTTGGTGATGGAGCTTCTAACAATTTCCCCCCGTCCCCCTCCGCTTTACCGCTATATGCAGAGTTAGTTAGCATGTCTGCGCTCCAACTAAATTGCCATATGTGTGTGTGCGCGCACGTGTGTGTGTGTGTGTCTGTCTGTCTCTCTAAAGTTTGTCACTCGTTGCGTGAGAGTACATCTGGCAGGGCAAGAGGCAAGTGAAGGAATTATAAGTCGAGCAGACGTAGATATAAAGGGCATGCGTTTGCTGCGGCGCAGCCCAGTTGGGCAGGGGGATCTTCGCATGTAGGTAGCTGCATGTTATGGGTTAACAAACACGCGCAAGCAGGGGGTGCATGGCAGGGCAGCTTCCTCACGCAGCAAGGCAGGAAAGCCACGTGTGCCACCATGTTTGGAGGCACACGGTTCAGTAGACGGATCGACGCAGATGGCTGCCATGTGGGTCACAAGGTTGTTTACCTGGAGCTCATCCTGGATCATCCAGCGGGTGGTGGCAACGCTCTGGCCAAAGCAGCACCATGCCTGAAGGGATGGGAGAGAAAGAAGAAAAAGGGTTTGGGCTCACGGGGATGAGGCGGGTACCTAAGAAAAAGGGAAACGGTGCGCGGGGAAGAGAAGGGAGAAGGTTGTTGTGTGACGAGGTCGAGGTCGTCACGGCCTGCAGAGAGCGGGCTGAGGAACTGCGCACGAACAGTTGAAACAACATCGTTAACATCTCTCCGCAACAACCTCACCTCCAGGCACAGGCAGAAGGCCGGGCATTGGCTCTCGTTGAGGCGGCCCGAGCAAGGACAGTTACCGTTGCAGCATATGTACCTGAAGGGGAAATCAGGAGCATAGGTCAAAGAAAGCGGCGAAAGCTGGGGCTATATTTCAAGCAGCCATGGAACATAAATATACACCAGCATCGGGGCGTTTGACACATAATCGGGGCTGTGGCCTTGAGAAAGGCCAAGATGTGACAATCAAACCAGTCAAACGACGCGCTTGGCCACCTACCTTGATAGGTCACCATACAAGGCCTGCTTGCGAAGATCGTAGGAAGCACAGATAGGGCTGCAAAAAGGATGACAACAAAATCATTGGGAGGGAGTACCGGGAGAAGGCCGAAATCGACGGCCATGCACCACGCACCACCACAGCGCAAAGCAGCAATCTGCGTAAAGGCACAACGCAAAGGGATGAGCACACGGAATTCCACACGCGAGACTGCTTTCGCTTGAGAGTCGAAAGCTGTTCTTCGTTACAAAATTGCACACTTCATGCAACTTACATCCTGGACGCTTGTAGCATGTCTTGAAGAGTTCTACTTGCCAATGTCGTTCGTATGCGAACCGCGACTGAAGCTTGGCAATTTTGGGGTTTGAAGTGGGGTCCATGGTAATTAGATACCGATACAGGACTGGCGACAAACTAATAGAAGCTGGGTTAGCCTGTGAAAAGACCCAACATGCAATGAGGAATGGCTGCAGGCAGCTGCTACGATTCGTACGGTGCGCGTCGCAAACGTTACAGTCCCCGGTGTTGTGCGGAAAGTGTTGCTAGGAGCATTGCACTCGACGCGTTCGGGGTCCACTGTCATAGTCTTATTCTCTGGAGGTCAGAATCTGCGAGCCATACCGTTCGCCATCCAACGAATTCTGTACGGCAGCGGGTTGTACAGCTTCCTAAGGAAGCGTCCGGTTAGTTTAAGAAAATTATGGATTCATATTTATGTACACTTTCAAAGGATGAACTTCTCTCAAGCTGTCAACGTGGCATTGTCAACGCGACGGTGTGGACGTTATTAGCTCGTTGGTGGCCAAGAAACCCTGCGCGTACATGGCCGTCCATCTTGTGGGACCCTTGCCAAATCAAGCGTACCTATGATTTTCACAGTGATGCAGCGCGGCTTAGGACGCGTGACTACCTTTACACGGAAACGGACCGGTCGTCCCCGCTCCTGCAAGGCTGGTTAACATGCATAAAGTAATCGAGAGCAGCAGACTCATAAGCCCAGCGCCTGTAACCGAAGCGCGTCTAGAGCACGTCCCGTGGGCTGCGGAAACGAATTGCGGACCGCTCCTGGGCCATCATGCACCAGCTGCAGACCAAGTGCCTGGATCAAACACCGGCGCCTCATACGCACCAACAATCTCCCACGAGCTACAAGCTGCTGTCCCCACCAGCCAGTCGCCTGGAGCCGTTAACCAGGTGCCCAACCTCTCCTCCATTCCAATTTCAAGCAGCCCCAGCTCACACCCGACACCCCAGCCTCCACCTCCCAGCAATGCACCCCTGACCTCCAACTGCACTGTTCACAGCGACTGCGTTAGGAGCACTGCCACAGCTCCGCCGGCATCACCAAGCGGACACGGACATGTCCTCCAGGACACGGGACAGCGACAGCAGCAGCAGCAGGAAAGGGAGCAGCAGCAGCAGCAGCAGCAGCAGCAGGGCCCGCAGCAGGCTGTCAGCTCCGTCTGCCCTTCCACAACTCCACCAGCTGACTCCCAAACTCCTTCCACATGTACGGCACGCTACATCGGACCCCATTACGATCCGGACTATGAGATCCCTACAGGCGCGTGCTGGGTGGAGCTGGGGGGGGGCTGTGTGCACTGCACTGCGGTCAGGACTGAGCGGGGACTAGGTTCTGGTTCTTAGGGTTTTGACGCCGCAGTCCGGGGTAGCAGACCCATTAGCGGGGGGGCCCCAAACCCCAGGCGTGTCCCCTCAACCCCCCACAATGCAGTGCTGTGCGGTGCTTTTGATAATGCGCTGCTTTGTAGTCCGGGTTTTCACGCCGCTGCTCCTGACCTCACACAGCTGCACCTCTCTTCCCCCCGGGGCCAGTTTTTTTCTGATATCCTTGCATATATGATCTCCGCCTCCCGCGACTGCTGCCATCCTGAGGGGGGCGGGAGGTTGGTTGTCGTCCTTTTCCCGCAACCCCAGATAGCCCCCATGGTCTGTCTCCTCCCCCGCCTTCTCTTCGCGACCTACCTAGATCCGATCGATGACTCCACCGCTGAGGACTTCAGCACTTAAGGACTTAGGACTTCGGACGCCCTTCGGCTGTTTACTTCTTTTTTCTAAGTTTCTCGCATATGAGGTTCTTCTCACCCGCCCCCACATACATATGATTTCCCAGCCAGAAACCCCAGGCCGCACTCGGCCCTTTCTTGCACCGCTCCGGAACACGCGCCCGTCCATACACAGGTGCATTGACGGAGACCCAGATCCTGATGTCCCTCGCCGGGGCTACCCGCATAAGGCAGGACCGGTACGGCTTCGTGATTGCCACTCCGGGGGACGACTCCGACGGCGCCGTCGCCGGCAACAACAAGAATAGAGGCGGCGGTGGTGGTGGCAACGGCAAGGGCAACGGCCGTCGGCGCCGCCGCAAAAGCGGCGGCGCAGCCGACCAGCCGTCACACCTTCCCGAGCGGCAGCAGCAGGAGCAGCGGCAGCAGCGGCGGCAGGTATCCGGGAGGGAGCGCAAGTGGGGAAAGATGTTGGGGCGCGGCGGGGCGGCTCTGGATGGCTACCGGCGGCGACGCCCTGAGAGGCTGAAGCGTCGAGTACGGAAGGGCATTCCGGAGTCGTGGCGTGGCCTGGCGTGGCTGGAACTCTCTGGTAGGTCATGTAAGGGAACGATAAGAAGGCTCTAGGGTCTTGGGGCCCGGGATGGGGGCCCTGGTCTTGCTTTTCGCACGTCTTTTGACTCCACTGGCTCCGCTCTTTTGCTGCGATGCTGTGCTTGTTCTCAACCTTCCTTTGATCCCCTTGCCCGTTCCTTCGTCACCCGCTGCCCGTATTCGGGGTACTTCCACGGCTGTTTTACAATCACCGCCAGGTGGCCGCCAGCTGCGGGATTCGAACCCGGGACTCTTTGCCACGCTGCTCGCCCTGGACGGCGAGGCTGCACCCGCACGCCACGACGCGCGGCAACAACAGCAGCCGCCTTCACATTCCATCATAACCACGCTTACTATTGGAACAAAACCCAATTCCACACACACGACAACGGTGCCCACAGCCACGGCCGCAGCCACTTCAACAGCCCCAGCATTCACAACCGGATGTAACGACGGCGGCGGCGGTAATGGCGATGAAGGCAGCAGCGGCGGCGGTAATGGCGGTGGAGGTAGCGGCGGCGGCGGCGGCCCGAATGCGCGTCACGGCACCTACTGTGCGCCCAGTACCGCGGTGGTGATGTGCATCATGCGGGACCTGAACCGCACCTTCCCCAACCACGTCGCGTTCATGCGGCGGCAAGGTGTGCTCCAGAAGGCGCTCTTCTCCGTGTTGTGGGCGAGCGCCGCCTACCGCCCTTCGGTGGGTGGAGGCATTCGAGTTCGGGCCAAGGGGGCCCGGGGGCTCTCTCCTCGAGAACTACCCGAGACACGAATGCAAACCCTCATTGGCACGCGCGCTGACATACATACATGCGTTCGCGAGTCAGATTATTTGGAATACACGCACACGAATGCGCGCATGCACGGGACAGATTTCTTGTCTCCAAACCTGCAACCCGGAAAAAGACTGACCCAGGGTATTTCCCATGCACCGCCCCCCCCCGGTTGCCCCAACCGGTGTCGACTACAGGTGGGTTATGTGCAGGGCATGGGTTTCCTGGCTGCCGTACTGCTGTTGTACATGCCGGACGAGGATGCGTTCTGGACGCTGCAGGCTTTGATGCAGGTACGTGCCTTGGGGTTACAGGGGGGTTTCGGGGCGGGGTCGGGATAGGGTTTCGGAGCAAGTTGTGAAAAACCCAAAATCCCAAGTGTTGATGCACCAAGTGGTGGTGGTGGCATTAGTTAGGTTAGGGTTTGGCGAGGCCAGCGAGCAGCGACACAGCAGCGGTGTGTGGTTGCGACGAAGAGTGTGTTTTTGTGTGTGTACGACTGCCACTTGCATGCACTTGTCTTTGGGCTTGTTTGCATTGCCGAGCGGTGGAGAGGATGGAGGGGATTGGAATGGGTGTTTTGCGCGTGTTTGATTTTTTTATGGGAGCGCATGTCCGGGGGGCACACGAGTCGTGTGCCGTGTTTTGTGTCCCGTGTAGTTCTTACCGTTATCATCTTCTGTGTGTATGTATGTATGTATGTATGTATGTATGTATGTATGTACGTATGTATGTATGTATGTATGTATGTATGTATGTATGTATGTAAGCATGTATTTGTGTATATAAATGATTGGAATCGGGCTCAGAGAAGGAAGGGCTGCGACTCAGATTATTAACAACTGTCACAACTGTCACAACCACCTGCTTCCCCGCCCACCCACCCCAGGGGTCTCCTTCTTGGCCTGAGCGCTGGGGAATGGAACAGCTCTACTCAGCGGGCATGCCGGGGTTGAGATGCTCCCTGTTTCAGGTACATACTCGTATGGGGGTAGTGGGTGTGGGTGAGGCGGATGGGTGGTGGGCGCGTGTTGGGATGGCAATGTTGGTTGGGTGCCCCTTCTTCTTCTCCTTCTTCCACTTCTGCAGTTGCGTCGGTCGCGGTTGCGTCGGTTGCGATTCCCGTTGGTCGGTTGCGGTTGCGTCGGTTGCGATTCCCGTTGGTCGGTTGCGGTTGCGTCGGTTGCGGTTCCGGTTGCGATTCCGGTTGCGGTTGCGTCGGTTGCGATTCCGGTTGCGTGTGAGGAGGGTGTGTGTTAGGGCCATATGGATATCGTCGGCACACTTGCTTATCTGAAATCTTGACTGCACAAGTTTCGCCCTCCTTTCCCCCGCCATCCCCGTCGGGTCGGGTCGGTCGCGCGTTTTAGTTTTTTGGGGGGTTGGGAGGAGCACTTGCATACCGACAGCCTTTCAGCATCAGCAAATCAGCCTTTTCTCCAGGCCACCAGCTTTAGGCCACCTTTACGACAGCACTATTTTACTTCGTTCCCGCCGCCTTCACTACTACTTTTCTACACCTACTTCTTTACGGATTGGCTATACTATTCCGCTTTTTTAGTTCTGGCGGCTTAGGTAGGTAGGATTTCCGACATCAACGTCACTTCGTCATCCCGAGGTCACAGTCGCCACGGACGCCTTTCGGTCAGTTTTTACGTTTGCTAGTCTCTTGCCCTGGCAGCAGCTTCAATCGTATGTGGTTCGTCTTTCCCCGCCATCCCCCCCCGCATCCCTCCTCTCCCTCTTCCTCTTCCCCCCTCCCCTTCACTCATTCATGGTTCGTCTTTCCCCCCTTCCCCCCCTTGGGGGGTTGGGAGGAGCACTTGCATGTCACCAACAGCTTTTTATTACCAGCTTATCAGCCAGTTTTGGTCCAGCCTCTTCAATGCCGCCGCCAGGCCGGCGGCAAACTTCATTCCAGCTCACGTCACCCCTTTCTCTTCTCACGTCAGTTTCTATTGCTCTTTCGCCGCCGTTACACCTACCTTTGCTATTTTATGGCTTGGTTCTACTGCTCCTCTTCCGCTCTTATTTTAGTCTTGGCGGCTAGGCAAGTAGGTAGTTTTTCCGCTGTCGTCATCACTACATCATCCCGAGGACGGCTTCTTCACAACCGCCGACTGGTTAGTTCTGCTTTCTCTTTACATGCCCTTTACATGCCCTTTACATGCCCTTTACATGCCCCCCCTGGATCCTCCAGTTCTCCCGGCTTCTACGAGATGTGGCCCCCCGCCTGGCCGCCCGTATGGAACGTGAGGGGGTGGAACCTGAGCTGTACGGCACCCATTGGTTCAACACCGCATTCGCCTACACACTGCCCTTCCCGCATCTGCTCCGAGTGTGGGATGTGTTCGTGGCGGAGGGTCCTAAGACGGTGAGGGGTGAGGGTGGGTCAGGTAGTTGGGTTAGTTGTTGGGTAGGACGAGCACGGAAAGGACGCGTGTAGGGGCCTTCACCGTGTATTGCGTACGGCGTCTCGTCCAGTCACGAGCGAGGTGTCTCTTTTTTTGTGTTGTTATCCCGGGCGACACCTCCTCCCTGTCTTAGCCCTCCTTCCACCTTGCAATGCACCGAGACACACACACACACACACACACGACACACACACACACACGACACACACACCCACACACCCACACCCACACGCCCACACCCACACACATCATGACTTCCCAAACCCCCCACCCCCTGAACCCCCCTCGCAACTGCCTCCCTTTTCGATCCCTCGTCTCGCACTGACCCCAAACCTCCCCTCCGCACCCTCCCCTCCCTCCGCACCCTCCAACCCACCTAAAACAGCTTTTTCGTGTGGGTTTGGCGGTGCTGCAGTACGCGGAGGCGCGGCTGTTGGGTTTGCGATTCGAGGGGCTGGTGGCTGCGCTGTCTGCGGCCAGGCTGGCTGAGCTGCTGCCCGCCGAGCCGGGGGATCTCATTCAGAGGGCACTGCGAATACCCGTGTCTAGGAGGCTGCGGGAACTTGCCGCGGAGTGGCAGAAGCAGCAGCAGCAACAACAACAACAACAGCAGCAGCGATAGGATTGGCAGTAGCAGCAGCAGTTGCAGCAGTTGCAGCGATGGAAGGAGAAGTAGGTGTTTTGGTAGCATCAGCAATAAAAGGAACATAATGTAGGCAGCAAAGTGTAAGCAACAAAACAAAAGTAACAGCGGTAGTGGCAGCTTTCTATATGCTGCATGGGTGGTTGGAGGAGTAAAAGCGAAGAAGGGAAGGGAAGGAGGAAGGTCGGAGCAGTGCGCATGTTGCATGTGTATGTGTTGGACGCGTCGCGTCGCGGCAGTGCCGCGGGTTGGTGGTGGTGGGGATGGAGGCATGGGGGAAGGGGGGGAAAGACGAACCACGAGCGAGTGAAGAGCTGATGCCAAGGAAAGGCTGCTGCGTGAGGAAAGGGGGGAAAAGGGGTGAAGGCGGGCGACGGGGGGCCCCGGGAACATGAAGGAGGGGAAAAAGTCAAAAACACACTTCAACACCAGCGGAGTCACGTGGGATACCTGCCTGCGGACGGAAGCGTCATCTCTGGATGTAATATAACCTATTTAGGAGCCGAAATTGGAAAGAAGGGTAGTGAGAGGGCATTAAGAGGGAGAAAAGGCTCGGAGGAGGGAGGGGGGGCTCCGATGGCCGGCAGGGAGCGAAGTTTGGGCTGTTGACGGCGCTGGAAGGAATGCGCGGTGGGGTGCGAGCGAGGATCTTGGGGGTGCAAGCAACCCGCTTGCTAGTCCCGTAGGCCTGACGGGACAGGGGGGAACGGAGAAGGGGCGGTTTCGGGGCCTGGTAGGGAAACTTTTTTCCATGCGTTTTCTCGCACTGTGGGTGGTTGGGGTGTCTGTCGGGGGGAATTTTGAGTGGGAGAGTGTGTGTGCGCGTTTTGTCGTGTTGTGTAAAGTCAGGTAATTGTCGTGGCCCTGGCAGCTCCGGGTTCTTCTGCTCGCGCTGTGTGTGTGTGGCTGACTTCGGGCTTCTGGTGGCGAAATTCGGACCTGAGCTGCTCCCGCTTACTGCCGTACCTGTGCTGTACTTCTTACTTTTTTTACTTTTTGGTGGCCCTGTGGTGCTGGAAGAGGCATTGAGGGGCCGAAGAAGAAATGAAGTTAGCCAGGTTGGGAATTCCGGGGTTGGATTATGATGAAGAGGGAGGAAGAAAGGGGGAGTAGGAACAGGTTACTGGTGGAGAATGTCGGTCGGTCGGTCGGTCGGTAGGTCTATCAGTATACGTGTTGAGGGCGGATCACGGCCTTGCGACCCAACCTTCCTGCCATCGACCGCGCCTCCGTCCGTCCGTCCGGACGTAGGGGGCTGATACGGTGACGGCCGAAACAGAAAAAGCCTCTCACGCTTGCCTCTCTCACGCTGTCGTTGTGAACCCTTGTGGACTTGGAAGCTCGGAAAGCTCTGAAAGCCCGAGATCATTTGTCGAAAAGCACCAAACGGGACTTCCAGGGCGGTGACGACGACGGTGGGTGGGTACGGCGGGGAACATTAGGAAACCCTTGCGGCAGGTAGCAACACGGGGGCGGCCATGAGGGCTTGCAGTTTTTCTCAAATCTCAAAAGGATGGGGCTCCAGAAATGGGGTAGGTTAGTCCGTAATAGGCAATAGTCGGAAATGGACGACATTATGGGTAGTAAGAAGGTAAGAGCGCCACGTCGCTTTAGCGGTGGCGATGTCTCGTCCGCGGTTTAGCAGGGACAGCAGCTTTTTGTGCTGTGTAAATCATTAATTTATTCTAAGTTATAATTGTTGTCCGGTATATAGTACGGTCCACATCTCCTGTGGACCAAATTTCACATGTCCATGAGCGGTGTGGAAATACTGTTGCAATGTATTCACGCACCTTTCTTTCGGTTTTATCTTATCTACAACGCTCTTAACAAGCATTTCCATTCATTATCTAGCTTTATTTTTACAGTCTGCATGGTGGGCACCATGTACACAGTGGCCCTTCTCCCCACACACAAGGAGAAGAGTGCTTCGGCGGTGTCGTTCCCGTTGGGGTATATATACGGTTAGAGGTGCCCCCCCACCAGCGTCAGACCTGAATCGACATGTAACAGACAAACATGCACAGGTTGCACCACCCATGACCAGTTGTTTGTAATTTCTGCCATTTCTGCCCTCATATGAGGGCACCTCCTAAAACCAAATCGTCGGAGTTAGAGGAAACTTCATGGGGGTATAATGATGTTGTCGCCGATAACATTTCCATGGACGGTCGTAATCCGCTAAAAGTCGAGAACCTTCTAGGAAGAAGCGGAAACAGAAGCCAGATGGTTACTGGGCCAACCTGCCATCTCGCAAAAAAAAAGAACTCCTGCTGGCCCTCCACAGCGCATTATTGCGGCGGATGAGGATGCCTTGGAGATATCCCGCCCGCGCAACAGCAGCAGCAGACAATATGCCTCGCGAGGCCGCGGGCGAAATGATGTCGACGATGAACTGAGTTTCCCCGCGTCTTTTGCCCGGGTGGAAAGAGCGCCAGGCAGCTCGAGAGGGAAAGAGGAACACCCGGCAGCAGTACACAGCCCTGCAGCCCCTCAGCACAGCCTGGGGACAGTCTTCTTAAACTGACATGAGCGATCAGAGCTTCGTCTGGGCTGGCTGGCGGGCTGGCTGGCTGGCGGGGGGAGGGGGGAGGGGAGCCTCATATGACTGGGGGCCAACACATCACATGTGCGGCTCAATTAAAATTGCAGTGGCGCTTAATGAACGGATGTTGTTCTGCCCATGATGTCCCGCACATGCTGCGCATAAGTGAGAGATCGCTTTTGCCCACACGGCAAGCCCTCACAGCCAGCCTCACGCGGAGGCCCTTCATCGGCGTTTTCAAAGCCGCGGCGGCAGGGGGGGCCTTCAGCGGGTCGCTCCCCGCACCTGCACCTGCACCTGCAGCTGCCAATCCACGGTGCGGTTTTTTCACATCAGGAGGCGGTGTCGATGTGCAATTGCCCCAGCACTACATGGGCAGTGTCTGCAGGTTTGAGCGATTTCTCTTGGGGACCTCTGGGGGCACTTTGCTTTCCTAGCTCTCTCCGGAATGCCCAGCTGCTGCATGGTATGAAGTCGGGCTCATGCGTATGGGCATCAACACCTTCGCATGGTACATGCAACATCAGCCGTAACAAACTCCGAGCTGCTGAAGCGTGAGCGCAATGCATGCAGTACACTCGTGCATTTGAGCAGCAGCAGCAGCCAAACCAGTTTCCGCATCCCTCTCCCCCTCCCTCTCTATCTCTCTTTGCCGTGGCTAGATAAATGCAGAACATACAAAATACAAGCGCCGCAAGGAAAGCTGAGCGACCGACCCCATCACGAGGAAGGGCCAAATTGTCTTTAAAATGAACTAAAAACGCCGCCGGAGGAAAAACTGTATAAAAACAGAAATATTCGCTATATTAATGCTTTCCGTAATCCCGCGATCACGCATCTCACCACTCAGGTCCTGGATGCACAGGGCTGTGTACGGCCCTGTACGGCCTTGTACGGCACCCGGGCCAACATTCAGCTGCTGCTCCTGCTGCTCTAACTTCCTGCCGTACCACCCACGTTATGTTGGTACTCGCCGCGGAAGGGAAACAGCTGGTGGACGGTTCGTGTGAAATGCCGAAGGGAACCAACTTCCTGTTTTGTACACTTCGCCTTTTGCTGACTGATCACACCACCATCACCACCACTGGGTGAGAATATGTGTATGAAACTGCGTCGGGTCCCCTCCCGCCCTCCCGGGCCCGTTGCTGTTCGCTTCGTATCATATCGATGATCCCACTGGCGAAATTCCTGCGGCCGTGTACACTGGCGTGTCCTGATTAGGATCCTCTGAGAAGGGGTACTCACTGCGGGTGGCCTTGTGGGTTTGACACCAGCTGATGCAGGAGGATGGAGTCGGGATGGATTTCGGTGCTTCGTGCCTTTGACTCAAGGGCCGTATCTTGCGCCCCTACCGATGGACGATATAAATAAGGAGTTCTTTTTAAACCCGAAGTCTTTTGTCGTGACGTCAGAGCCGTCATCCTGCGTCCCAAGCGAATTGTCTGGAATCAGCGCATCGCACGGCACGGCGTCGTTAGCGAACGAGAAAAATTACACATGACCGCCAGCCAGCCAACCTTGCCTATCAATCACACATGCACACACACATAGATACGTACATACATACGTACATACATAGATACATACATACGCACTCTCTCTTACGCCACAAACACATGGGACATGCGGCCTCTGCAGTGATGTGCCCTTGACCTTACCTTCAACAATCGCAAAAGAAGAAAAAACAACGCAATCTGTATAACTCAACTAACAACTAACTTGCAACCCACAACTGTCAACGGAACGAAAGAGGACCTGCATGGTATAGGCGAGGTTGGCTTGCGTGATGTCCCCCAAAAAAACGACCACAACAACAGCAATACAGCAGCCGTCCGCCATGCGATGTGCGAAAATGCGCCTAAGTCGAAATTGGTAAAAACCCTAAAACCCTAATGTGCCTACTTAAAACCGTACAGCAGCTGTTGATTTCACCTTCCGTAGCAGAAATTGTCCCCCCACGCAGAACCCGTCCGGACATGAATACGCGCCATATAAATAAATCCGCCCATTACATATTAATGCTGAGGATCTCAGCCACGAGCTGCTACGCATGTAAACCCCAAGCTGCTGTCCTTGCTCCCGTCCTTGTGCTACTGCTCGCACACTGCTACGATTTCATGGATTAACAACACAAGCCATATGGCATGCACACACCAGCCTCAGCACTTCTCCCCAACTTAAAAATTCAAACTTCGAATTCACACTTACGTATCCGCCTTTCCTCTTTCCTCTCCCGTCTCCTCGGAAAGCCAAACTGTTTTTTTTGTTGCTTTTCGAATACAACAAATTTTGCCGCGTATTGTATCCTTTCTGCAGTTTGCTTCAAAAGCCGAAAGCCGAATACCGAGAATGAATGCGCGGAACACCGCAACCCTCTGTAGCTCACGCAGCTCCGGATTCGTAATCCGCTCTCTCGCTCATCTTCCCCTCTCCCTGGCATCCCGCGGGGTTTTGAGTTGAGAGTTGCGCACGGCATACTAGGTTTATTTGTAGAGCGATGATACGATGAAGGCGATTTAAGCTTGCAAAATAATAAATTGCAGGATGAAGCACAGACAGACATATCGATCCGCTCTTACCTGCTGCTCCGTGTACCGCACCGCTGTCGTACCTTCCTAAATCCCATCACCCCTCTGATTTCACCTCACCTAATCGTTTCTGGAGACCATCAGTACAATCCGTACAATCATCGTACAATTTCATCTCATCTAATCGTTCTTGGAGCCCATCGGTACAACACATAAAATGTGATCGCCACAACCTCCACGTCCGTCCCCTCAACATCTGCCCCCCGGCAGGTAGTGGTACGCAGGTGGCGGGCGGGAAACCTACCGCGCCAAGGTGTGTGTGTGGGGATGAAGAAGGAGATACAGACCTCGCAACAGTAGACCGCGGTTTTCGGTGCTACTCCTGCTGCTGCTGCTGCACCACACAACACTACACAACACAATCGCTGCCCCCCATACAACTTAGCGGACACTGAAATAAACACCAACACCAACACCAGCACCAGCACCTGCACCTGCACCAACACCAGCACCAGCACCAGCACCAACAGTAACACCAGCACTCCAATACTCACCGAGATGCCTTCCCTGCCCCACTTCAACATCAACTTCAACATCACAAAAAACAGCATGCACATGTCTTTATGTATGTATGTGTGTATGTGTGTGTTCTATCCTATCCCGGTAGGGTAGTCACACGTGCGCCCAGGTACGACAACAGGCAGATAGACGGACAGATAGACGGATGCACCAATCAAAGCACTGGTCCCGTGTTATGGGAGTGCAACAGGCCGCAGCCGTCATATGCCCCCGCGGGCACCCATGATCCGTCCCATTCGAATGCCCAACACCCACATTTTGATAACACACACACACACACGCGCGCGCGTACACACACTCGTACAAAGTGTGCGTATCGATCAGTAACATTGTTAGGGGATCTTTGCAGCGAAAGGGGGAGGGAGGAATTATCGACATCACGATGACTTTACTTTTTTTATCCTTTTTTTATTATGGCCAAAAAGAGTCGAACTTCCGTACTGGTACGTCCTCCGCAGGTTCACGTTGACCGCGAATCCGTACTTTCCGTACTTTCCGTACTTTCCTACCTGTCGTGATACCATTATATGAGAAGCATCTAGACGAGCTCGTGCAGCTGCTACTGCACCTGCTACTTCGCCTGCACTACTGCTACTGCTACTGCTACTGCTGTCGATGATGATGATGATGATGATGATGATGATGTTTACAAGCTCACCAGGCACTCTGACGCAGCGGAGCCCAAGGCACCGGCTGCGAGGAAGGTCGCTTGGGTGATGCCCCACCAACACCGCCACTGGTTCCGGAGCTCGTCCGTTTACGTTCAAAAGCCACCCGGAGACCGCTTCGCGACGCAGTCACTGGCATCGACATCGATGGCCAAAGAACCTGCGACTGTTTGCCGTACGTCCTAAAGATGCCGTACTTGCGGTATATCAAGCTCGGATCACCCGACAGGTCATGCCGCGTCAGCACACGGCCGTCACCGCCGCCTCCGCTGCCGTTGGCATCTTCGGGATCGAAGCCGCTGCTTTCACTCGCTTCGAGCCAGCGCTCCACGCCCTCCCGTACTTCACGCTGCCGTGCACTGCCCGCCGTACAGCCGCCGCCGCCGCCGTTTCGCCCGCTGGCAATTGTTGCAGATGGTGACCGACCCGTGGGCGGCGATTTTGCTAAACGGGGTTGGATTGCCGAGTCCGGGACGAGCCCTGTGGTGGGTCGGCTGCTGGTCGAGCGCTGCTGCTGCTGCTGCTGCTGCTGCAGCTTGTTGCGTTGCTGGTGCTGGTGCTGGTGTTGCCCCGCCGTGCATAACGCGCGCTGCTCCCTCTCCGCACGACGCTGCTGCATGTAGCCGCCGGGAGAGAACGGCAGATCTGCGTACGTGGGTACGAACATATCCCGCGTGGGAAAACCACCGCCGCCGCCGGCGGCGTTAGCAGCAGCAGTAGCGGCAACAGGTGCTGATGACGTCACAGAGTACGACGTCGCCTCCGGCGTCGTCGTCGTCGTCGTCGCGGATGTCGCTTTCCGCACCGACATGGCTTCACGAAGTCGGTTGCTGATGTACAATTGCCCCGAAACCAGCGAAATTTGGGGCCCGGTGGCGGGTGCTTGTCGTACAGGGTACCGGCTAACGAGCTCGCTGAGAAAGGGCATACCCGGGAGAGGTCCAGAGGGGTGTCGTACAGGCAGACCGTTGAGATGGTGCTGGTGGGCGCTTCCTGAGGATCCAGAGGATTGCTGTTTGGCCGGCGTTGCGACATGTTGTTGCGGCACTGATTCCCCTATCTCCCCATATGATTCTAATAACTGGTCCCAGCTGTCATCTTCATTGTATTCATTGTATTCCTGGCGAGAAAAGAAGGCTGTTTGTGGACGGGCGCTGCTGATCCCACCACGTCCGTTCGTAGATGGTCGCGGCTTGGAAGCTCGGTAGCTGGGTTGCCTGATGGACGGCTGATGTTTAGTTTCGGCAGCCAGTCGCCGCCAAATCCCAGGAGCTTCGTTGTCAGGATAAGCAGGAGCATCATGGTAATGCGCCTCCTCCTTGAAGTATGTTGATGGCGCAGTTTGTTGGCGCAGCTTATGGTGCTCAGAGTTTGATGTCCTTGCGCCGCGTGTATGCGCTGACACCAACATGTATTGCCCGTTAGTTGTCATGCTTGCATCAGTCAGCTAGCTTCCACTCGGCAACGGCTGCTGGAGGCCTGCGGGCAGGCCACGTTCGATGTTTCGCCAGCAATCGTCGACTAGCAGACAAACTTGTCAAGTTCCCATCATTTATAAATGTAGTATGTCGTAAAGATACTGTGATAAATGAATGTGACCGTGAAAATGGGGAAAGCCTTGAGGTGAAAAACTACCTGCGCACGCCGAGACGAATCACCTACCCGTCACTGGCATGGAAGACGTATACTTGAAAAGTTTTAGCAAGCTACTATTCCTCTGTGAAATGACTCCATGGTTTCTGCTAGGAACTTTTATGAATTACTGTTTCATACCGGCGACTGATGCAACCAAGCATAGGAAGAATGTTGATTCACGCGCGCCAGTATTAGTTCGTTTCCCTCCCAAATGATAGAATTTACAGTAGTGATTGAAAACCCCCACAAAAATCCGTACAACCGCTGGCTAGCAGTCCTTCCCGCGCCAATCCTAACCTAGAATGCCAGCTGCACATCTCAGAGGCCGGCATTGCCCTCCATCCTGTATCCATCCATGAGCAAAAGAACGCATTCTATCTATCACCACTACCTGCTGCGGTCAGCGTGCCCCGAGGAAATTCAAAGCAGATGTACATGGGCAGGCTTCACACTCTGGGAAAAAGGGGGGGTCGAGATTCCATAAAATGAGGCTCTCTTTTTCCATAGAATGAGGTCCTATTTTTCCATAAAATGGCATGTCCTTTTCCATAATATCTCCACAATTTTATGGAATGCGGCCACGCCCCACTGCCAAAAAAGGCGGGCGGTAGCCTTTCACCCCAGGAAGACGGTTGGTAACCTGTACGGCAGTACTACAGGGCCGAGAATGGTGGGCGGTTACCTGTACGGCAGTCCAGCTACCTTTCACACCGGCGCTGACCTTGAAGGCAGTCCACACGAGAAAAAAAGGCGGGTGTGACCTGTCATGTTAATCTTTATGCTATGTGTTGAAAGGTTACAGTGTAGGAGTTTTCTGGGCCCCTGGAACACAATGTCATTCCTAGCCACTATACAGCACCGTCCACCATGACTACAACTGCTGTACTAACTGTGAGTCCAAGGCCGGTGACCCCTGTCGCCTAGGCTCCCTTCTCGTCCATTCACACCAATACACTGCGCGAATCTGGTCCATCAATTCCACATCTCGGAAGCTAGCCATAATCCCCGGCTCCAAGCAATGTCATGGGTTCGCAGACATCGAACCCAGGACTTTGAACTAATGCTAAAGGGTGGCAGCAGCAGGGACAAGAAACCCAACCAAAAATGAAGTAATGCTGTCGTCTTGACCCATGCCAGAACTCATGCCATAGGAAGTAATCCGGCTTAATTACATTTGTCACATCAACAATTTTAACACACAACACAATACCACGATTCTATGGGGACAGGCATTCACATATAGACTCTCCCCAAGAACCATACACATTTTCCGATGCGTGGTACATAGTCACATTAGAAAGTAACTTGGACAATTCCAACAGCACTTTTTGGATCCTCAAGTTTGAACCCAACAGCTGAGTACTTGCCCCAGGCGGCAGGCGTTGACTTAGTCGTTTCACTCCGAACAGTATTGTTGTGATCCGCAAGTTTGAACCCAACAGCTGAGTACTTGCCCCAGGCGGCAGGCGTTGACTTAGTCGTTTCACTCCGAACAGTATTGTTGTGATCCGCAAGTTTGAACCCAACAGCTGAGTACTTGCCCCAGGCGGCAGGCGTTGACTTAGTCGTTTCACTCCGAACAGTATTGTTGTGATCCGCAAGTTTGAACCCAACAGCTGAGTACTTGCCCCAGGCGGCAGGCGTTGACTTAGTCGTTTTCCGCACAGCCTGGTCCAGATATGCAGACTGTAAACAGATAGCTATTAAACTGTAATGGCACAAGCGTGTTGACCTGAGACAACTCGTGCTCGGAATCGCTGTTCCGAATATGCAGCTGATAGAGTGCAGGAGCTTAGACCATGGTCTGTCCCAGACCGCGCACAAACAACACGCAGCATATCCACCTTTTTCCAAAGCCGCATGAACCAAAACCTCTGTGAATTGCAGACCGCCCAGTGAGGAGCCGCCAGTTTAACTCCAGATCCTTGTTCATCTCCTGTGTGACATATCCCTGTGACTCTAGTCTGGGCAGCTCAGTCCAGAACCCCATTTTTTAAAAAAAGCAGCTGATGTCAGTATTATCTAACAAATGATGTACAACTGTAGCCCAGGGAAAAGTCAGGTCCACTCTGTCTGGAAGATGTACTTGGACATTTGTACATGACATTGATTCTGTCTGTCATTCTGAATAATTAATAATCTCTTAGGAATTACAATTTTTCACCAGAAGGCAGGAAATCTGACACAAATGAGATGGGAGTGGCCACTACTGTAGTCGACCACCACATGCAACCTCCTAAATTGTAAAGGGTAGTACTATACTTCTTAACAAGGGATTTGGACACCGAACACATTTTGACAACCCCAATATCGAAAAGCAAACCGTTAGCGCTTATGAGGCGATTTAACAACGGGGACAACATGCTGGACGCTGATGCTGCATTGCCCAGCTGATCTCAGTTGCCAAAATCAGCGTAGCGCCATACGCTGCAACACATCGTCCGGGCGTGCAGAGACCCGAGACAGAAACTGGGCTGGCTCCAGCACTGCAGTCCGAAAGCGACCTATGCAGGAAGCGTAACATTGCTGTCAAGACACTATACATGTCATGAGGAGCACTACTTTATCACGCCAACTTCCAACAGCAGCAACGTGACATACAGGCGTTCAGGTGACGCACAGCAGCATTTCTAAAATGTCTCAAATGACAAAAAATTCGGTAGAGGCAGGAAAGTTGACCGCATGGATAAACAGGCAAGTGCCACGCAACGAAGACAAACGGTGCTCGATTGGTTAATCATGGATCCGACTAGCTAAGCTTGTCCTGTTGTTGCCAAAGTAATATCATGCAATAGTAGTTTACGGTTTGAAAACTTCTGCTCGTAAGGAGCAGTGAATAGTTTACGGTTTGAAAACTTCTGCTCGTAAGGAGCAGTGAACAGCATTCGCGAACGAGTCCAATCCTGCGGACTCAAAAATTGCTGTCGCTATTCCTGATCTACACATATTGATTGCAAAATACAGTCAGTAAGTGCGCATGTTTCAATGACAAAGATATGTTTTGCTTACCATCCAGCAGACCATCACTGTTAGTCCGGAACGACAACACCTTCAAGGCGTCCACCTGTAAACTGTCGCTTTCATACCTGTTCACTTACACGTCATGCATGATGACATGACCTGCGGTTGCATGTGAGCTGGCCTCCACTACCTGCAGAGCCAGGGCTACAGGAGGTGAAAAGCAGGCATGCCGAATGCCTAATGAAATACGCGTCTCTCATGTCCAACATATGCAATATTCAAGGATTGGACGCGATAAGAGGCACACATATATTGGAGAAATGAGACGGCGGCCGGCTGGCCTTGTCCACGGATAAGCCGCCTGCTGCCTATTAAGAATGCACGGCCCTACGCTGATGGGAAGAAATATTAAGCAAGTGCTCAATGAAAAAAGATACCCAAGATGCGAATGTGCCACATATATCAGGATCAGTTCAGTGGGCCTTATCCTTCGTTCCATATGACAATTAATGTCGTTACAATCCTACATCACTTGTAGCCAATAAACGGTTGATAGTAATAAAGATGCATATCAAGCAAACAAACAGCTGTTAAGCAAGACAGAAATAGGGCTTAAAGTGGGGCCGACGGCGAGCCGGCACGATGGGATAAGACCTGTTGGAAGTATTAACGATGGAATCTGGTCACTTTCTAATGGCCTGTCATATTAGCCCTGCTGGTCATTTCGCGCCCCGCTGGTCATATGAATGCGTTCGGCAAGCATAATCCGAGACATATCGCGACACTGGCTATGTTGAGTCGTAAATTAACCAGTCTGTGAAGGGTTGGTATTCGTGCAGCTTGTGCTGAGTAATACAAGTGTCAGGTTCCGCACGTGAGTAGGGGTATCCACTGTATAAGACCAGAGGCGATGGATGGTGTACTAGTACTGAAGCGGGTATGTGGGGGACCTGTTTGTCGATCAGCTTATTGGCCTCCAGTCTCCCAGTCTGGGGCAGGCTCCCACTCTGGCCCGCAGCCACCCAGCCTCCTAGGTCTGGCCAACCTGGCCCCAAGCCTCCCACCCTTGCAGACTCGAGTTGGAAGCTCCCAAACTCTAAGGCTCTCTGCCTCCCAATCTCCCAACCTCCCAGTCCCCAAGCCTACCAGTCTTCCACGCTCCCAGACTAGTATGCTCCCAAAATCTCAGGCTCACAAGCTCTCAGGCTCCAAGACTCCCAGGCTCCTAGCCTCCCAGGCTCCCAACCTCGCAGCTTCCTAGGCTCCCAGTCTCCCAAACTCCCAGCCTCCCAGGCACCCAGTCTCCAAATCTCCCAGACTCCCAAGCTCCCAGTGTCCCAGTCTCCCAAGCTCCCAGTGTCCCAGACTCCCAAGCTCCCAGTGTCCCAGACTCCCAAGCTCCCAGTGTCCCAGTCTCCCAAGCTCCCAGTGTCCCAGTCTCCCAAGCTCCCAGTGTCCCAGTCTCCCAAGCTCCCAGTGTCCCAGTCTCCCAAGCTCCCAGTGTCCCAGGCTCCCAAGCTCCCAGTGTCCCAGACTCCCAAGCTCCCAGTGTCCCAGACTCCCAAGCTCCCAGTGTCCCAGACTCCCAAGCTCCCAGTGTCCCAGACTCCCAAGCTCCCAGTGTCCCAGACTCCCAAGCTCCCAGTGTCCCAGCCTCCCAAGCTCCCAGTGTCCCAGCCTCCCAAGCTCCCAGTGTCCCAGTCTCC